CAGCCTGCGGCTCTCGCTCACGCGCACGCACCTGCCGGCGGCTCCCGCGCCCGCGCACGTACCAGCCTGAGGCTCCCGCGCCCGCGCACGTACCAGCCTGCGGATCTCGCGCTCGCACTCCTTCTTGATGCGGGCGATCTCCTCCTGGTGCAGGTGGTACACGCTCCGGATCTCGGCCGCCTTGATCTTGTCCGCCTGCATGACCACGGTCAGCGCCTCCTCCACCTGCCTCTTGGCCCCCTTGAGCTCCGAGATCTCCTGCTGCATTTTTATCTTCTCCACCTCGAACCCCTTCTTGGCCTCCTCCTTCGCCTCGGACAGCAGCACGGTCTTGACCTTGTCCGGGCCGCTGTCGCGCAGCGCGTGCAGCAGCCCCTGCAGCCGCTGGTTCTCGTTGTCTTTGATCTTGATGACGCGCAGCAGCTCGGCCTCGTGCTGTCGCAGCAGCGCCTCGCGCACCGCCTGCAGCTCCTTCATCTTTTCTTCGTGCAGCTTGGTCTTGAGCTCCGTGAGCAGCACGGCCGCCTTGTGCTGCTCGTGGTCGCGCGCCTGCTTCAGCTCCTGGTTCTTCTCCCTCTCCACCCTGCTGACCTGGAAGACAAGAGACGCGGGTCGGGCCGGCCACCTCTGCACTTGCCAAGCCTGGGCCCTAATTTTGGAAAGTTTCGTTTGCAAACGTGGGTGCTAGCTTGTGTGGGAGAATGCCTCCTTAAAACGTGATTGAAAATGAAATGGAGCCTCATGGGTGGGGAGCGTGAATGGGCGCCCAAAGGACTGCTCAGGCTGGAGCCTAAGCGCTGCACGCCTGCCAGGGCCCTGGAGTTCTGCTCCGCGGCTCTGCCAGGGACAAGCGAGCTGAGGACGCAAAACTGTCACCTAGCAAACGAACCTGCTGAGGACAGCAGGCAGGACAGCCCTGGGCACAGCCTGTAGGGGCAGAAGGGCTGCTGCCTCTGCCCAAATGACAGGGGCAGAGTGCTTACCTTCTGCGACATTCTCCGTGAATGGGGACACCAAGCTAGGCAGCTGCACCGTCTGTCTAGATGACGTCTGATATCTGGACTTTGGGAAGCACTCAGATTTTTTTTTTAAATTTTATTGGGAAACAGTCATGGTCATTGGTTACACATTGTTTTCATGCTACCATGGCATAGGTGACTCTTTTTAAGGCGGGCGCAGCTCACAATGACCCATGAGGGGATCGAACCGGCAACCTTGGTGTTATTAGCACCATGCTTTAACGAACTGAGCTAACTGGTCACCCCCAACACTCACAGTTTTGACTATTTTATTTTCACCTAGAACCTGCGACCTTGGCTAAGTGACCACATCACCCACCATCTGGCACCAAGAATGGCTGGAGTCCTGCTCTGCCTGGGTCTATGTGGGGCCAGATCACATGGGGAAGCCACTGCAGGCTCAGGACCCACAGCCCTGTGCCTCTCTCCAGGGACCGTCTGCTTCCTGCCAGGACCCTAGAAAGGCAGTCGCCTGACAGACACCTCCCCCACACCTGGCAGCTCTCAGTCCAGGGCCTGCTGTGGCCTTCATCCAGCAAGGGGCCATGCTTGGGGTTCATTTCCACTGTGAATAGTACAGGGGGAAGGGGTGGCATTCCAGGGATGGTGCCACTGGAAGAGGCGCTGCGGCACACACGCTGACAGCCAGGGCTGTGCCCACAGGGCTGGGGCTTGTGACCACATGCTCACCTGTGCGGGGGGGACCCCTCACAATGCCCACCTGCTGCCTGCTGCCCCCTCCCCAGAGCTAGCTGTCCTTCCTAGCTGCTTCGAGAGGCCTCGGGACCCCAGGACTAGCTGGAGGGAGGTGGGGGCAATTCCACAGAGGTGTGGCTACACCCTGCTCTGGGCAGACCTGGGGCCCAGAAAGGTGTAGAAGTGGGGGGTCATGGGGCTCCCACCTTGCTCTTCTCTTGCTGCAGCTCGATCTGGATTTCCGTGAGCTTGGTCCGCAGCTCCTCGTTGGCGGCCTGCAGCCCGACAAGGAGCTCCTTGTCCGCCTTGTCCCCTTTGCCTCGGCCGCCCGCGCCCTTCTTGGACATGGTGAGGGTGCCCCAGGGACGTGCAGGGAGGGCGCCTGTCTGGGCTGGGCTGTCCGCGCCAAGCTGGGGCAGGTGTTGCCTCGCTGCCTCTCTGCTACATTTCCTCACTCACCTGGAGGGAAAGCACACCTGGGTGAGCGACTGGCCGGGCCTGAGCTTGCACACGCGCCGTCCACATGATGATGGAGTGCTGCCGGGCCGCCTACTGGGATGGCCTGAGGGTCAGCAGTGCCCAGCTCAGGCGGGGCCGCTCTGGCCACGTGGTAATGTGGTGGCCTGTGGTTAGCTGTCCGTCTCTACTGAAGCCCGTCACCAGACCACACAGTTACGCGGGCAGGAGAAAACAAACACACTCACAGCGCACACACGCTCGTGACTGGGGTTCCAGAGACACCCATTGGGAACGGGCCTGAGAGAAATATGGCAAATATGTTTCCTAACAGAAAAATAATTTCCAGTCTAAATCATGTAATTTTATTAAATGGGGGTGTGGGGTGGGAATCTCATGAACAGGTGGGTGACTGAAAACGATTATGTGACTCAGAAATAGAGAAATAGGCCCCATGCTACATATAGTCATAAATATTGGGATGATTAGTTGGTTAATTGTGAAAGAAAAATCAATCTATGAAATACTGCCTTTCTAATATAAAATTCTAAATGGATTAGAGAGAATTAAAGGTGAAAAATCAAAGCATTAAAACTAGTGGGGAGCAGTAGAAATGAGCGTTTTGGAAATCTCTGGAGAGAGAGGCCTTTCTAGGCTGAAAGAAGATAAAAGGAGTTCACAAAAGGAAAGATCGATAGATTCCAGCACATAAAAATTTTACATCTTTATGATCAACGGGTGATGCAATTAGGAATCTAAAAACAAGTTAAAACGATATTTGCAGTAAAGACAACAAAAAAGTCAGTATCTTTATTAGGAGATTGTGAAACTCAATAATAAAAACACTAAGAGCTCACAAGATAAATGGATAACTATCAGAGAGATAATCCCAGGGTAAGCGGAGAGGGAACAGGGAAAAGAAATGTATAAAGAAATTAAACAACAGAATTGTACAAAATTAATGAGACACAATGAGCTACAGATTCAAGGAGCTCATAGATCCTCAAACAGGAAAAAAATTAAATACATCATAGTCAAACTGATGAAAACCAAAACTTAAAAAAAAAATCTTGAAAGGAATTAAAGGAGAGAAGGGGCACATGCCATTCAAAGGAACAAAGATAAAATTAGGTATGCTAGAAGAAAATAGAACAACATCTTTAAAGTGCTGGAAAACCCAAACAAAAACATATTATCAAACCAGAATTCTATACTTGGCACAAATATCTTTCAAAAGTGAAGGCTCTGACCACCACACACCCATTGGAATGGCCACTGTCAATTTTTTAAAATAAAATTTTCATAAAACCCCAAAATAACAAGTGAGGATGTGGAGAAATTGGAACCCCTGTGCACTCTTGGTGGGAATGTGAAATGGTGCATTCAGAAAACAGTGGAGGTTTAACCTGACATTGCCAAATGACCCGGTAATCCCACTTCTAAGTATACACCTAAGAGAAATGAAAAAACACGTCCACACAAAGTTCATAGCAGCATTATTCATAAAAGCCAAATGTGGGAGAGACCCGAATGCCCACTGACTAATAAATGGATAAATAAAATGTGGTCTAGCCATACCACGAAATATCACTCATCGGTGAAAAGAAATGAAGCACTGACACACATTACAATGTAAATGAACCTTGAAAACATGATGCTAAGTGAAAGACGCCAGTCACGAAAGATCATATATTGTATGATTTAATTTATATGAAATGTCCGGAATAAAGAGCAATATAGAGAAAAAAAGTAGATTCAAGGTCACCATGGGCTGGGGACAGAGGGAGTGAGAAGTGATTTCTAAAGGGAGCAGACTGTCTTTTAGGGGTGATGGAAACATTCTAAATTTGTGGTGATAGTTGCACAATTCTGTGAATATACTAAAACCCTGTGAATTCACACTTTAAGCGGGTGAGTTATATATTATTAAAGCTGTTACCAAATAAAAAAGGCAAAATAAGGACTTTTCAGAGAAACAAAAGTTGAAAGTATTACCAGCAGTTCTGCACTACAAAAAAAAGTGTTAAAAAAAAGTTCTTCAGGCAGAAGAGATATTATCAAATGGGAAATTAAATCTACTCAGACAAATGAAGAATGCTGAAAATGGTAAAAATAAAGGTACATTTCAAGGACTCGTTTCTTATTTTTAATCCATATAGGTTATTGAAATCAAAACTAGTGATAATGTATTGTTGGGTTTATAAAATATATGGAAGTAAAATATCTGAACAGTAGCAAAAATATGGGAAGAAGAAAAATAAAGTCATTGATTATATGTGAATTGGTATAATATCAAGGACTGTGATAAGCTAAAGATGGTATTCAAAATCCTAAAGCAAGCACCAAATACTAAATTAAAAGAAAAATGTAACAAATAAGCCAACAGGGGAGGTGAAATAAGGTCTTAAAAAAATACTCAGTTCCAAAAATGGCAGGAAAAGAGAACAAAGAAGAGATAACACAAATAGAAAATAAAGAGCAGAAAATCAGATGTAAGTCCAACCATGTTATAAATATCAAATGTAAATGTGCCAAACAACACAATTAAATGGTAAACACTTTTAGATTCAATTAAAAAAAAAAGCAAGTACCAACTTTATGCAATCTACAAGAAACTCACTTTAAATACTATAAAGGCATAGATTGGTTAAAAGTAAAAGGATGGAAAAGTTATATGATGGAAGCTTCAATCAAAAGAAAGCTGAAGTGATTGTATTAATGTTAGACCATGAAGATTTCAGAGCAAGGAACATCTCCAGGGATGATGAGGGACATTAAATAATGATAAAAGAGTCAATAAATCAAGAAGACATAGCAATCCTAAAGGTACCTGCATCAAACAACAGAGCTTCAAAAATACATGAAACAAAAACTGATAGAAATGGAAGTAGAAATAAGAATAGGCACAACTGTAACTGGAAACTTCAACACCCATCTCTCAATAAGAGATGAAATATGCTCAAAAAGTTAGGTAAGGATATCAGGGATTTCAACAATACTGACTCAATTGGCATTTATAGTATTTGCCACCTGATAACAGCAGAATATATAGTAATTTCAAGTGTACATAAAGTATTCATCAAGATAGGGGATAAGCGGGGCAATAATAACAAATCTCAACAAAGCTACATAATTGAAATGAAAAGTATGCTCTCTGGTCAAAAAGAAATTGAACTAGAAATAGCTAATAGAAAGATATCCAAAAAATCAAATATTTGGAAATTTTAAAAGCACTCTTCTATATGACAGGTAGATAAAAGAAGAAATTATAGGAAAATTAGAAAAATATTTTGAACTTAATGAAAATAAAAACAATGTATCAAAATTTGTGGTGGGACACAACTAAATTGGAAAAGAGAGAAAAATTTATGACAATAAATGCTTATATTAGGAAATAAGAAAGGTCTCTAACCATAATCTAATCCTAATCTAAGCTTCCATCTTAAGAACACGAAAAAAGAAAAATAAAGTAAATGCAAAGTACACAGAATAGAAATAATAAAGATGCTAGTAGAAATTGATAAATTTGAAAATAAGAGGAGAAATTAATAAAACTAAAAGCTGGTTTTGGAAAAATATCAATAATATTGATAAACCTCTGGAAAGACTGATCAGGAAAAAAAAGACATAAATTACCAATATCAGGAATCAAAAAGGGGACATCACTTCATATCCTACAAACATTAAAAGGTAAATGAAATGGACAAATTTCTTGAAAGACACAAACTAACAAAGCTCGCTCTTAACTTGAGTACCCTTTATACATTAAAGAAATTGAATTTGGGCCGGCCGAGTGGCTCAGTTGGTTAAGAGCGCGAGCTCTGAGCAACAGGGTCGCCAGTTTGATTCCCACATGGACCAGTGAGCTGCGCCCAAGCTGAGCTGCCACTGAGCTGCCAACAGGTGGCAGGATGGCTCAGTTGGTGAGAGCACGTGCTCCTAACAACAAGGTTGCCGGTCCAACTCCCACATGGGATGGTGGGCTATGCCCACTCGCAACTAAGATTGAACATGGCACCTTGAGCTGAGTGGCTGCGATCTGCTGACCGGCAGCCGGATGGTGACTGGACTTGGAGCTGAGCTAGCTGCGCCCTCCACAACTTGGGTTAAAGGACAACAACTTGTCTGTTCCCCTTCCCCAATTCCCCAATAAAATCTTTTAAAAAAATGAGTCTATTTAATTCACCATATTAATATATTGAAATGAAAACACACATAATCATACTGAAAGATGCACAAAATTCAAAATCTATTCACTATACAAACTTTCAGCAAACTAGGAATAAAAGGAAGCTTCCTTCCCCTGATAAAAGGCATCTGTGAACAAACAAATAAATAAAAAAATAAGGAAATAAAACAACCCTGTAGCCAACGTCACACTCAACAGTGAAAGACTGACTGCTTTTCCCCAAAGGTGGGAGAAAATACAGACCACCTCTCACCACTTCTATTCAACCCTGAACAAGAAAAAGACCAAAAAGCATACCAATGGAAATAAAGGAATAAACCATTTTTATTCACATATGACATGACTGTCTATGTAGAAAATCCCAAAGAATCTATCTAGAAGACATAAGTGAATAGAAGGTCAAAGGAGAAAAAATAATAATATGTATCAGTTATATTCCTATATTCAGTTGTCCCCTCTTATCCACAGTTTGGCTTTCCAAGGTTTCTGTTGCCTGTGGTCAACCACAGTCTGAAAATACTAAATGGAAAATTCAGAAATAATTTTAAATAGTGCACTGTTCTGAAGAGCGTGTGATAAAATCTCACACCATCCCACTCTGTCCCTCCCAAGATGTGAATCATCCCTTTGTCCAGGGCATTCGAGCTGTTTGCGCTCTCGTCTGTCAGTCACTCAGCAGCCGTCTCAGACTGACTCAGTGTCACAGGATGTGTGTCCAAGTCACCCTGACTTTACTTAGTAACCCAGAGGGATCGGCCGAGTGGCTCAGTTGGTTAAGAGCTTGCTGTACGAGTTCGAACTCTTGAGCAACAGC